AATCATATTGCAATATTCTTCGCTATCTATTTATTAAATATTTTTATTTACTTATTGTCGCAGCTGAAACTAGAAATGGCTAAAGCTGGAAATTAGAAACCTCGATTTGAAAATATAAACCCTACCAAATTCCACTTATACATTTTTATTATCAAAACTAACTTTAAATCCCAAGCTAACTATAAAAAAAAAAAGCTAAAAAAATGCGCCCCAAAAATTTTTGAAAATTTCATATTAAAGTATTTAAAATTTCTAGCTTTAGCAGTTTCTAGCTTTAGCCACAACACTAATTATTATTTGCCACTCTTAGAAATTATAAATTTATTTTTCGTGACCCATGATTATCAAAATGTAATTAATATTTATTATATTGTAATAGGACGTTCTTTTATTTAAGATCGTTACTAACACAATGCATTTCCATTCATATTTATATATATTAAAATAATTAATGTATTTATTGAAAATAGCTTTTCAAACTATTCTTGTAGTGTTTTTGCCATGACTTGTCTAATAATCTTAATAATAACAAAGTCAGAATACCTGAATTTGAAACTTGAAGTGGTTACCAAGTTTGACAAAACAGAACACAACTATGAGTTGCACTTTGTAAAATAAATAAAATCGTATCTGTTTTTTTATATTAGACAAATTCTTTCGACAAATTTAATTTTTTATCTTTAATATAGTCCAAATATTTATTATGGTGAACTGTATAATGACTAAACATATATTATAATATTAGTATTAATTAAATTGAATAAAAAAAAATTAGAATAAACAATAGCTTACATTGTATCTGGAAACCATTTTCTCCATCTTCTCTGTTGAGGAAGTAAGTAAAATAACTCGATTTCGGCTATAATCTAAAAATTTATATAGTAAGTATATCTATTAAATAATTAATATAAAAGAAAAATACAATTAGTAAAACCTACAGCTGCTTTTTCTGCTAGAAAAGATTCATGAGCACTGTTTGGATTAATCGCATTTAATAACCCAATAAACAGGTTCATTAAATATATTACAATAAAAAATGACAAAGTGACTAGCAGTATAGCTAAAACTGGGTTATCGCTAATATTCCAGCTAGTGAATGAACCAATATTTCCTAAAAAAAGCAATTTAATGTTAAAATAAAATCAGGTTTATACAAAACTTATTTTATAAACAGACCTGCTAAAACCATATATGTTGCAATAAGAGCAGTTCCAAAATTAGAATACATGTTCGTATTACTATTTGGTGTCTGAACCAAAATTGCATCAGATGAATGTGTCCCATTTTCATATATTTGATTATATGTGTTTGAAAGGTTCCATGGATCATTAGGATCATCTTTTCCACCCTGTTGGGGGCTAAGTAGCATACAGAAGGATAGTGTAAATCCCATTAAAATAATAGTGAGTATTATGAAGAATGGATATATACGGCGACCAACTTCAAAAAAAATAGTAAAGTAGATTCCAAATCGTGCAAATGCTCTGAAAAAAAGCAGAAATTTAATCCAAAGAAAAAGTGTTGCCAGCGCCTGAATCGGTAAATTTGTAAAGCCGTTAAGCCAATAGACAGAAGATATGATCGGAAATATATATGCACCGATATCTGAAGAGAAATATGTAAATATAAGAAGACACTATATTTTCATTTTAAAATATAAACCATACCAAACCAATTCCATAAATTCATAATATATTTTGGTCGGCACCATAAAAATTTGCGGAATTCAAGAAAAAGACTGAACGCTCCGTAACCAATTATTATGCGAATTAATGTAAGATCTATTAAATTAAATTGTATTAATAGCGATTCATTTAGTAATTAGAAAAAAATTATAAAAACATATATACCTTTATAAAGAGCATCAGCCATTATAATAAAGAATATAAAATATGCCATAAAGAATATCCAAATAATAAGATAATAATATTTTGCAAAAGTGTTCCATTTATAATTAATTAATGCTTCAATGCGCCATTCTCGATAAAGCCTGTTATCCCCCAATTTTACAAATAAACTAGGTATAGGTCCGAAAATAAGTTCTCACAAAAAGTTATAGTGAGATGGATAACTGACAAAATTTGGCATATATGCAGTAAGCCTAACGCTAATGTATTTTTTAGAATCTTTGATCTTGTACCAATATTTTAATATCACAAAAATTAGATTAAATTTCATCGATATATATCATAACTCAATGATGAATTTAACATAATTTGTAAAGGGATTTGGGGCGATTTTTGTTGTACTTAAATTATGGCATAAAGCCTGAAGGTGTGAATTATTTAAATATAGGATCTCAGAATTCAAATCCAAAGAATCCAAAGTATTACAAATAAGGTCGATGAATTTTTTTTGATTACTATTATCTTTGATGAGAGAAGAATTGATAATGCTAAGAAAGCAAGTGTGCTATAGCGGATTTTCATTGAAATATTCAATAGATTTTTCCAATATTTCATTTACTATTTTATCATATCCTAAATAAATTGCATGCCTTAATAATTCTCCACCATATTCTGCTAGCAGAAATTTATCATAAATTATTTCTTTTACTAATTTACAAAAAGCTACATGGTTATTTTTCTCATGAATGGTTCGCTTCCATCCTAGCCATCGAAAAAAAATGAAACTGCATAGCCATCCTAGCCATCGAAAAAAAAATGAAGTTGCCTAGCCATTGAAAAAAAAATGAAACCGCCTACCCATAGAAACCATTCTTTACAACGTTCAACATGTCTCAGATTTGGATTTCTCACAAATCGATAATAGGTTGATGATTCAATGAAAATAAATTTTTGGAGTTCGGTTAAAAAAATTAATTTGTCATTCTGAAGAATACTGCAACTTACGAATCTAATTTTTTTTGTGAAACTTCCATGGGATTTATTAATAATTTTGTTCTTAAAATCAATTCTGAATTTAATTTCTTTTGTAGAATTTCCATAGATTTTATTAATAATTATGTCCTTAATTCCCATCTCATACTTCTCTAAAGAAATTTCATTTTTCCAGTACTCTGAAGTGTCTAAAAAACTATGATATAAATAAGTTTTAAAAAATTGGTTTTGAACTGCTTCCAAATAAGCATCCCATCCATCAATTAAAATTTCATCGCATTTATTTTCATTTACGTCTTCAACATTTTGCAGAATATCAATTAACCTGATGCTTATTAATTTACGCTTGTGACATATGACCATGTGCCCGGATGTAATTTCCAACAATTCAAAATCTTTAGTCTCTAAATTCGTGACTTCCTCATTAGGACCAGACAATTTCATTGGCAAAATTTCCAATAAAGAATTATATAAATAATTAGTAATATCAATAGGCTTTTCTGGACATGAAAGTTTCAGTAATTTAAACCTCATTGTACTATAATCAATTTTTTGAATTTTTTGATTGTTGTAAGATTTTTCAGGTCTAAAATATATTAATAAATATTCATCATGATCACTGACAATAAATTCGAGACCATTGAACAGCCCTGTAAAAAAAAAAAAAAAAAAAAAAAAAGGTTAAAAATTTTACATTTAAATACAATATAAATATATATTTTTTCTAATTACCTTCAAGATTTCTGGTTATGAATGGTAATCCATTTTCAGTTAAAAAAATCACCAATTTGCTTTCATCAATAACGGCCATCAATTTCTTTGTATTACTAAACGCCACTCTAAAACAGCAGTAAACAAAATAAACATAAATATTACTATGATCACTGAATAATATTAATTAAACTTTAATATGCTTACTTTTCTAAAATTCCAGACCACGGTTGCTTAACTGTGTATTGCATTTTTAGACTACATGTCATTATATTCCATTGATAAATATGATTATGTGCCCCATTATATATCCCATATAATACATATTCATTGTTGATACCACCGAAGATTTCACCACAGTCATAATCCACTTTGAAATATGAGGGGAAAAGAAATGTCAACATATTTGATCTTGACATAGAATACTTATAGATTCCATTTTTGACAATAACGACTAAATCTCCATTTGAAAGAAATTTAGCATATTTTAATCTCATTCTCGTCATTAAAAAATGTGTGACCGAATTGTATTCGTTTATAGTGATTGTTGATTGAAATAATTTCTTATAATAATAATAATAATACATAGATAGGGTGTTAATAAAATATAAGCAAAAATATTAAATATGATTCTATTCTTACCATATGTCCCATCATCGAACCCGATAAAGACAATACGATTTTCAGAAATGTTTGCAAATTTAACTTTCTTATATTCTTTCACCGGGTTAATAGTGCTTATCAACATTCCTATGTTCACGTGTAATGTCTCTTTACTCAAATCCACAGTAAAGGAATTCATATCAGTAATTGGCTTTCTATTTTCCATAGTATTCCAGAAAATAGTATCATCCGGTGAACCCCATGCAACAAGATAATTAGAATTCGGGGAAATGCTTATATCAGATATAGATACTGGCTCTTTAGGTTTATTTGAGGATCGACTTATAATAATTTCTTCCAAAGACTAGCTCTCAGACCCGGGCGTTGCTCCGGGGGCTCGGTTTCAATTTTTTTTAGTTTTTAAGTATTTATTAAA